ATATATATATATATATATATATATATATATATATGAGAATCATGGGTACTTGTTGATGGCATTAAAATTATTTTTAAGAGCATTAAAAAAGCATTAAAGTTACTCATTCCTGTCTAAACCCTGTATCTGCTAAGCTCTGTGACTCGCTCAGTAAAATCCAGGTCCGCCTTGTTGAGTTGAACCAATGAGCAGATAGAAGCTCCTCCTATTTGATGGCGCGGTGAAGCTAGCAGGCCGTAGCCACAGCTAATGCACTGCAGAGCAAAGCCACCAAAAGATCTGGGAAATTTCTCCTAGACACGCTTGATTTGAACGCATCATCAGAATGTCACGGTTTTAGTAATTTAGTATAAATGTACTTTAACAGGACAACTGTTAGCCTGTCATTTGTTTACATGAGTCCAAACAAATAAGTCTCATTAAACTATTTAGTATGTATTGTTTTAACATGTGATTATTTCATAAGCTGGATGAATTTATTCCTAACACATTTTCTATGGTTCTGTGATGTTTGCTTATTTTCCTGCCTTTGATGATCCTCTCTCTGTGTTTCAGGCTAGGAGTGTGCGTGCTGACCTCATGGTGTAACAGGATTAAAGATGAGCATTAGCAGTGATGAGGTCAACTTCCTGGTCTACAGATACCTACAGGAATCAGGTATCCTCCCCCTCTTCCCTCAGGCTTTTATCCTTTAGCCGTTTAAAAAGAAAAGCTTTCTTTCTCAGCAGGTCTTTGTTTCCATCTTCTGTGGTTTTACTCAGACTTAATCTCTTTTGTTACTTTTAATTCATTATTGGCACAAGCAGCTGATCACACCTTCAGTGAACATATTATTTCACAGAATATTCTTGAAGGTGAACATGAAGAACTATTTGTTTAGCAAACGGAGTCGATGTGGGCTGGGAATGAAACCATAAACAAGCTTTAACGGAGCCGAACGAAGGCTGAGGCTCTGAGTTGCTGTTTAGTGTCTCAGCTTTTTATCTCATTTTTAGAGATTTGATTTTATTTCCTTTTGAACGTCTGAAACAAACCATCTGTTTCCACCTAATTAAATCTAACTAGACTCCATGTGTTTGCTTCTCAGTTGATACTAATGATCCACCAGTGGTTAAACTGGCCTGACTTTCTCCTGCTCAGCTACGTTCAGTATCCAGCAGGATGGATGTTTCATTGCACCTAAAACTTACATGAGAAATGTAGCTGTACATCCACAAAATATAGGGTACTTTGTTTCCTAAAGCACAAAAAAGACAGGTA